GGGAGATATAAAGAGACTCTGTCTCAAAAAATGATTAAAATAAAAGTAAACAATCTTTCTGTGCTTTTCATCGGAATCATATTTTGTATATTATCAACTGGGGAGATTAACATCTTCACCATGTTGTGCCTTCCAATTCATGAATGTAATCTGTTTCCCCATTTATTTTGACCTTTGGTTTTTTTATATTAGTATTTTACCATTTTTAGCATATACATCCTATGGAAATTTTATTAGATTTATATCCTGTCACTGTGCTAAATTCCTGTTTTAGTTCTAGGAGGTGTTTTGTTTATAAATAAAATTTTGGGATTATCTACATAATTATGCAAAATGAAATCCTTTTATTTTGTGCTTTTCAACCAACCAATGTGCCTTTGGCTTTCTTTTCATGTGTTATTGCTCTGGTCTGGCTTTTAGTTCATTGTTTAATAAAAGTAGTGTTAATGGACTTCTTCACCCAGCTCCTAACATTAAGAGGGACATATTGTCATTGGGTATCATAATAGCTTATAAGGATTTTGTAGTTATTCATCAGAACGAGTAAATTTATATCTCATGTTTACTTTAATTTCTTTTAAAATTACATTTTATTTATTTATGGGCCGGGCACACATACCATTGCATACATGTATACGGCAGGTGACAGCTTTTTTGGGAGTTGGTTCTTTTCTTCTACCATGTGGGACTTGGGTCATCAAGCTTGGCAAGAAATGCTTTTGCCCATTGAGCCATCTTGCTGGTACTCACATTTATTTTCTCAGAGTTTTTGTCTTGGATGGCCATGGGTTTTAACAAATGGATTTTCTGCATCAGTTGGTGTGATCATATGCTTTTATTTGTTTATCAACTTACTCTGGTAATTCCTAATACTGAACCAGTCTAGCTTTTCTGAAATAAACCCTCGTTGATTATAGTGTATTTTTAAAATACTGCTTAAGTCTATGTTTAGGAATTTTCCTTTGTTCACAGGGGTATAGTCTGTAGTTGTCTATTTTGCATGCACTTGTCTGGATTGGGTATCAAGGAATGTGGCCTCACATCATGAATTAGTGTGTATTCTCTTCAATTTTTTATACTCGGTGTTATTTTCTTTTCCTTTTTGGTAGAATTCTTCAGTGGAACCATCTAGGCCTGAAGACTGCTTTTTCAGAAATCTTTAAACTATGTAATTGATGAGGCTATTATATGTTTTATATTATATATCTTATATTGAGTGAATTGTGATACTTTGTGAAATTTATCAGTTTGATTTACATTGTCAAGTTAATGTTATTCATAGTGTACTGGCTAGTTTTATGTCAACTTGACACAAGATAGGGTCATCATCAGAGAGGAGGGAACCTCAATTGAGGAAAGTCTTCCATAAGACCCAGATGTAAGCATTTTCTTAGTTCTTGATCGATGGGGAAGAGCCTAGCCCATTGTGGGTGGTGCCATCCCTGGGCTGATGGTCCTGGGTTCTATAAGAAAGCAGGATGAGTAAGCCTTGAGGAGCAAGCCAGTAAGCAGCACCCCTCTGTGCCTCTGGATCAGCTCCTGCCTCCAGGATCCTGCCCTGTTTGAATTCCTGTCCTCACTGCTTGTGATGATGAGTTGTTATATGGAACAGTGATCAAAATAAACTCTTTCCTTCCCAGGTTGCTGTGGTCATGGTGTTTCATCCCAGCAATAGTAACCCTAACTAATGCACATAGTATTCTCTGATTCTTTTTTAGATGTTTCTGGCTCTTCAGTGATAGCTACTGTTTTTTGTAACATTTTATTCCTGATAATGTGTATCTTTCCCTTTTTTTGTCAGACTTGGTAGGGGTTTGTTAAAAGTTTTTTTTACATAGGGTTTCACTGTGTAGCCCTGGCTGTCCTGGAACTCACTATTTATCGACCAGGCTGACCTTGAACTCATAAAGAACCTTTGTTTATGTCTCTACAGTGCTGGCATTAAAGGTGTGTGCTACCATGCCCAGCTGTCAGATTTTTTATGTAAACATTTTTGTTGCTTTTTAAAAAATTACCTGTTTATTCTACTTATTTTACTATACTTATCTGATTTTCATTTTACTGATTTTGGCTCCTGTGTTTTATTTCCATCTTTCTTGTTTGTGCCTACCTCTACCTAGACACCTGAGTGAAGCAACATGTACTATTGTTGAAAAATACATATGGTGCCAGTTCATTGTATTTTTCCAGATGTGAATAAGTAATGATTATTTAATTATAGACACTGGCATTTACAGAAGTTTCATCAAAATAAGTTCCTTACAAAATAAGGTAACGAGAGTGATTGGTTTCTTTTGGCTTGTGGCTTATGATGTTACTTGGTGGCCTCACATAATTACTGTAACCCAGTTCTTATTTTAAACTGACTCAGAAATCCCCTGATACTCATTGTGGTGTTTTGAACCTTGCAAACTCAGTAGGATCAGAACTTACTTTCTTGCTTGTTCCTTATTTCTTTCAACTGTTGCTGAGTGGTTAGGTAGCTACCCAGAAATAGGACCAAGGCAGTTAGCTGCTCAGAAATAGGACCAAGGCAGGTCCTGGAGTTCTACTGTAAATAACTAGAAGTTAGTAGCTATGGCTTTCTCCTCCCTCCCTTTCTCCCTCTCCCTCCTACTTCCTCTTTCCTCCTTCTCTCCCTCCCTTCTTCCCTCCTTCTCTCCCTCCCTTTAACAGTAACTCTCTTCACAGCCTTGGCTGTCCTGGAAATTAGTATGTAGACCAGGCTGGCCTCAGACTCACAGAGATTCACCCACCCCTTCCTCTAGAATGCTAGGATTAAAGGTGTTTGCCACCATGCCTGGCTAGCTGTGATTTCTTGACCATGACTAACTTCAAGTCTGTGTTATGAAGAAAAAATGAATGCAACTACAATTCCAAAGCTAAGTCACTTCTGTCTATAAGTCCAAATTACATTTTTAAATTAATGTTTTGTGATTAATATTTTAAAATGTTTTGGGAAATGCTCCAATATTTTAGTTAATATACAAGTTGTATATTTTTCTTAGTCCGAATAAGCACTGTTATTCACAAAGGACATAATTTTGGCAACTTATAGGGGTTATAAAATTATATCAACAGGTGAATGTATGTATCCCAAACACATTATGTTGGTGTGATGACTGTTCTTTTGGAGTACACACATGAAGTGATAGTGAGGGCTGGGTAGTGGAAGGGCACAGATCCATCTAGCCAAATGAAGAGGTAGCCTTTGCACCCCACAGGGAAACAATACAATTATTCAAGGGCAAGTAAGGGCACTCTAGTATTAATCCTATTACACTGAAAAATTATGGTAACATTAGCTTCAAAATAGCATAAAGAATAAAGATGAGAAGAAACACTGGGCTTTTTATGTAATAGTGTTTATAACTTGATATTTAAAAAGATGCAACCTTATACTTATAACTAGTATCTTAACAGGAAGAACTGTGACTCCTGAGTCTACAGGCTTAAGTTGGAATTGTGCCTCTACTATTTCTACCTTTGTGACTGTAGGCAAGTCATTTTACCTCTAACTCTCAGGTTTTCTCACCAGTTAAATGTCAAATGATGACAAACATAGTGTGTTGATAAAATGTGAGTATTGTAGATTTGCTGAAGGATTTGTGCACTAGAGGCTACAGGGCGCAACATCAGTGACAGAATGTTTGCCTAGCATGTGCAAAGCCCTAGTTTCTATCCCCAGTGTCACCCCCCCCAAAGCATTCATTAAATATGCTGTTTGGCACATGATACCCACTAAATTTTGCTGCTTATATTATATTATTTTTACAATCACCCAAGCAACAATAAATCTTACATTAATGAAATCCTGCTTTATTTTTGTGGTATTTGTTACAGTTTTTCAATATGCTGTAGTAATTTAGACAGTATGGTCTAAAGCATATTCTCATTCTGACTATGTAACCAATTGAAAGTGTCACCTTACAAGGAGTCAATTAGCTGCAGTGAAATTTTAATACCAGAGGGCTGCTATATGTCTTTTTGGATGGCTTAAAATATCCATTGTGTGTTGTAGTGGATTATTCTTGCATATGTCCCAAAAGAACCAGTTTTAAAAGTGTACATGATTTTGTGCAGTTTTCTCAACTGAAGGCAATTTTGCTACCTGGGAGACATCTGTGAACATCTGGAGATCTTTTTGGTTGCTATATCCTGGGGCAGATGAGGTTGTTGCTGCTGGCACTCTGAAAGTAGAAAACAGGATCCCACAGTGCACAGGGGAATGGCCCCCCACAACAGATAATTATCTTGGATTCAAAAGTTTGTAAAAACATGTTGTAGTATTATGGTAAAGTTCAATGTTGTCTGGATAATCCAGAAATTGTTAAGGAAAGCAAAAGGCCACATCAAACCAGAGACCTCAGGAAAGAGAAGAGCCAGAATTGGGTTCTTGGCCTTCAGATTGAAGCTGTGGACAATGTGGTTGGCTTATGCAGAAACAAGTGGTTATCTTTGCCTTCTAATTATCTTTTTGTAATATAGTGGGTGTTTTTCTTTTTCTGTTAGCTACATATAAATATATACATACTCCAAACATATGTTCACTGTTTAGTAACAATTTTCTGTTTCGTTTTTATGGACATATCTTGATTTATGAAACACACGAATTCCTTAAATTTTTTAGATTAATTTATATACTGTGCATTTGTTCATCTGATTTTATTGCGTTATATTTTGAAAAGCTTAACATAATTTTCAATTGTTCCTCATTTGATCTAGCTCTTAACATTGCTGCTTTAAATTTAGCAACCTCTCTGCCTCTGGGTTTTAGAGAATGGGAACAAGCAAAGACTGTTGTGTAGCTCCATGGTTGGCACTTACATAGTGTTTTCAATACTTTGGGTTTCAGCCCCAGCACTGACCGAAAAAGGGACTGTGCATTTCTGTTGAAGCTGAGATAGCCTTTCTTCATGGACATGGTCCAGGTCAGATGCCAGAGCTCCTGGTACCTGTGTTGTTCCATAATGTTCACATTTCCTTCTTCTGCTGCCCAGAGTTGGTGTGGAGGAGCTCTCTGAAGAGGACCAGAATGAGCACCGCTGGCAGTACTTCAGGTGACACAGACACTACTAAGAAAATGGTTCACTGGCCTTTGCTTTTCTCTTCTAACTCGAATGGTTTCTCTTTATGCTGTTTGCTTTTTCCTTCCTGAAAGTGCCGATCCTCACTCCATGGGCAACAGGGAAATCAGTTCTAATCATTCTTTCTGTTCCTCCTCCATGCTGATTGGTTTGTCAGTGTTATTGGTATCATGTGCTTGCCACCCACATTTGGTGCCACGTGTTTTCAACCCCAAAGCCGGAATTAATGTCTTCATTTGGTACAGCTGAGCTTAGAGTTAAGGACAGTTTATTTTCAGAGCCACGTATACTTTCCCCATAAAACCCTGCTTTGGATCTAGTAAATAAGGCTTATAACTAATACAGAGAACTAGAATTTTCGTGTTTCAGCCTTGAGTAAAGCATACCTCACATGGTCTTAATTAAATGCCAGTGTTGTGTATTTTTAAGTATGTATTTGTATATCTATACTTTCTCATGATGGTTCATATGACATGAAGAACATTGATTTTTATAAACAAAAGCATGAAGTTGCCACTAATACAGTTTGTTTGTTGGCCTACATCCAACTGTGTATGATGAAGTGTTTAAGGGTGGTGATGTAGGAGAAAAGTAAAAACCTCCAGAGTTCATTCTTACCTTTCTGGATCTCCAATTGATATGTTTTCATCCTGGTCTGATCTGCAGATACATGAAATTAAAAATCAGCTTGAACTCAGACCTATTGAAAATATTCTGCTCCCTGAAGACAGGGTGAAAGAAACAATATCTATAAATGGGGTGTGGGTTTTAGAATATAGCCCAGATATATGCTGTAATGAAATTCATGAAAGTGCTTCTGCCAAAACTACTATCTGTGGACTTACAGAATGCTTGATCCATTATCATGGTATTCTACACAGTATTGCTTCAAACCAAGGGACTCACTTCACAGCCAGAGAAGTGAGACAGTGTGTCCACAATCATGGAATCCACTGGTCTTATCCTGTTCCTCACCATCCTGAAGCACCTGGCCTGATAGAAAGAATAAATGGCCTTTTAAAGACACAGTTAAAGTACCAATTAGGTGGCAGCAGCCTGGAGGGCAGGAGCAGGGTTCTCCAGAAGGAGGTATATGATTTGAATAAATGTCCAGCTTATGATATGGTTTCTTCCATAGCCAGGGTCCACGTGCCCAGGAATCAAGGGCTGGAAAGGGGAATAGTTTCCTCACTATTACTCCTAGTGACCCACTAGGAAAATTTTTGCTTCCTGTTCCTGTGATCTAGATTTTGGTTCCAGAGGGGGAACACTCCTGCCAAGAGCCACACAAACATTCCATTGAACTGGAAGCCAGCTTCCTCCTGGCCACTTTGGGCTTCTGATGCCCTTAAGTTAACAGGCTAAGGCAGGAATAACAGTGTTAGGAGTGGTGATTAATCCAGATTACCAAGGGGAAATTGTATTCCCGCTCCACAGTGGAGGTAAGAAAGAGTATGTCTGGAGGGCAGGAGATCCTTTAGGGCATCTCTTGGTGCTACCATGCCCTGTGATAGTCATATCATGTTAGGCACAAGTATGACCTGGTTAAATATATAATGCATTTGTGATTATATGTGATAGTTATATTCTGTTGAGGAGTTATCATGGCCTGGTTATTGTTTTCATTTGGGAATTAATCATGACATAACATGACTGTGTGTCAAGTTGACAGGGGGTGGATTGTGATGACTAGTCTTGGTTGTCAACTTGATTATATCTAGAATGAACAATAAACCAGAAATGGGGGACACACATGTGAGAGATTTTATGCTTGGTTTAAAGTAGGTGACTCCACTTCTAGTTTGGACCTTTAAGGTAGGAAGAAACACACCTTTGCTCTGGATCTGGAGGCAGGAAGACACATTTTAGATCTGGATTTTAAGGCTGGAAAACACAGGCCTTTAATTCAGATCTTGAGGCAAGAAGACACATGCCTTTAATTCAAATCTTGAGACAGGCAGGCATACCTTTAATATGGGCCATGCCTTCTGCTGGAAGTCTATATAAGGGCATAGAAGGAGGAAGCTTTTCTCTTGCCTTGCTAACACGTCCATTCCTTCACTGGCATTGGAACCCACTTCTTAGATCACATACAGAGGACTAGCTGAGAAATCTAGCCTGTGGGGCAGAAAACTACTAGATTCTACTAGTTTATGGCTATCCATTGTTGTATCAGGTGGACTGCAGCCTGTAAGTCATTATAATAAATCACACACACACACACACACACACACACATATATATGTATATATATGTATATATGTATATATATATATATATATAGTGTGTATGTGTATGGAGAGAAAGAGACAGGCAGCGAGACAGGCAGACAGAGAGGGACATTCATTCCATAAGTTCTGTGACCATAGAGAATGCTGACTAATACACTACAATAGACAAAATATTGTTCTAGAATGAACGTTATTAACTTTGTGGTATTATCTATTCCTGAAAAACACTTCCATTTGACTTCTTTGTCTTCTCATTTGGTACAGAATGTCCACGTTTGTCCCTTTCTTAATGAAACTAAGGATAATTCAGTTCACTCTGGAAGAAGAGACTGCTGTGTCTGTTACAGTGTGCTCCATCTAGGTGTATCTGAATGCAGAAATAAAGCTCCAGGTTTCTGTACCAATCAGGAGATAAACACATTAGAAATGGTTGCCGAACAAAGGAGTTAGAGAAAGTGAGATCTCATGGGGCTCAGAACCTGCAATGGAAAGCCTGTGTGCAGGCTTTCTCGCTCTTTAGCACCACTCCAAGGGTCCCGGCCCGTTGCTTTACTCGTGTGCACACAGACCGGTTTGGTTCTGGGCTGTGACCCAAGGGTGGAGCCCTTTTTAGGAATCCCTGTATACTGTGTGTCATCCTTGGGGATTAGTCAAGGCCCCATCCAGATGCCAGAAAGGTACTTATTAAATCATGGAAGTGAACATTCTCAAATGGGAAAAAAATTACAGAATAACTTTCATGTCCATGTTCCCCGACTGTCTTCTGAGGGGTCACTTATAAGGCCATGGAGAGTTGGAAAGCAGGTATTTACTTCCCTTCTTGAATTTTCCTACTGTCAGACTGAGAGCCAGGCAGTTCTCACAGGCTCTGTGCCTGTCTCCAGAGCTTCAAGTCTCTGGGGAGTGATACAACCAGCTGAACATGGTCGCATTGCATAGCACTTCATTAACTGCATCTGAGTCAGCTTGAGACTCTCTGCATCCGTTACTTTCAGAAGACGAGAATTTCAGCAAAACATTTCAGAAATTATCAACAAGAAAATTTTATATAATTATGAGAATGTTTAGTTTCCCATTGCCTGTGCTTACCAAGTCTAGTATCTTATGTTATGAATCTTTACATGAGCTTATAAATCATCAGTATTAATGAATTAGAGATAGAAAAATAGGCTGGTGTGTTTTTGAAACATCTTTACCAAAGGTAACGTTAAGTATTCTTAACTGTGACATTTAAAAAATTTCCCCCCAAAGGAAAGAATAGTGAATACCCATGTACCAACTTGCACTCCCCACTTAGCTAACATTTGTCACTTTTCTCCACTTCACGGTCAGGTGTTCTGAGTCTACTCTTAAGTGCAATCTCCTCTGTAACCACATCTGAGAAAAGCAACATGGATTTTACACACATAGGACCCAACAAATGTTTATGCTTATTGGCATGTCTGTTTACTCTTTCCCCATTCCACTCCATTCCCATGGTCCCTTAGAACACTGGTTTTTAAGTATTCAGGATAGTTGTTTAACAGAATGTCCTGTCATTGAGATTTTTCTGATGTTTCCTTATGACAAGAGGCAAATGATCATTTTTATCAAAATATACTGTAAAAGAGTGGTTACACATTTCTCATAATCTTTCAGGGGGCACATATTGTCAAGCTGTCCACTTATTAGTGATATCCCATTTGGTCAGTTAGTGCATAGCATACTGACCCCTAGGTCTCCCTAGTGTCAAAGTGCCACTTTCCTTTATGCAATTAAAAAGTTATCAGTAGAGTGATGTTTTGCCACCATATGAAAAACCAGATTCCTAATGAGCCAGGAATAAAATCACTCACTAGTGATTACACTAAGGATAGACCATTAAAACTTTTCTAATTCTCCCATTTCTTCCATTTTTTGAAGATAATGAATGTTGCCCATAAAGAACTTTAGAGGGTTTGGAATTTATTTTACATACAGATGAAGTTAAAAGTCTTCACTGTCTAGGTATTCCGTTCAAGAGAGTTTAACTTATTGTGTGGAATTGGAGTTGTTTCCCTACAGGACTCTCTCAGGAACCTGGGTGTTAGCACTGGCAAGGCAAAGAGTTAGCAATCAGAGGAAAAAAGTGATGACAATATGGAGCCCTGGTTGAAATTAGGGTTTATTCTAGAATCTACATTTTCATTGTCCTCATATGATTATTTAAATTTTTAATTAGTTAAAAATAAGATGTAAAATGTAGTTCCTCACTCACACTGACTATGAGTGCTCACTGAGCATGTGGCCAGCAGGTGCTCTAACTGGACATTGCAGGTAGAGAACACTGCAGAAAATTCTATTGTACAGTACTGACTTAGTCTCTCAGGTTTCCACATAACAAATTGTGCACATCATGAGCTTGTGGTCAAGTTAAGATGGTTCTAATTTCCTGAGTTCCCCATAAAATGTTTTGAATATAGTATTTTAGGCTATGTTTGGAATTCTGGCCCAGCCACATGGGCCTAATGCAAATGGATGAATCCCATTGGTATTTCTGTGCTTTGAGTGTAATGGATCAGTCTTAGCCATTATAAGTAGTTCTTTTGAAATACAATCAATTTAAAGTTTTTCTAGAACCCAGGAGGCAGAGGCAGTAGGATTACCACAAGTTCAGGGTATGGTATATATAGTAAATTCCAGGCCAGCCAACTCGACATAGGCTATCCTGTGCCCACAAACTAAAATGATTTTGTTAAAACATATTTACTTTTTGTAGTAAACATTTGAGGACTGTAGCTAAATTTCCTCTGGCAGCTCATATTACACTTTATTTTACTTTCCTCATGATGGCACGCTGTTCCTTGTGGGCCTCCTGGTTCATCTGGACTGACACACAGCCTGTCTGCTTCACCAGTACTGATGCAGAAGCCGCTTAAGAAGCAGACTTCTTTCACAGCCCTCAGTGCAGAGAGGAGAGATTCTTAGTGGCAGGTCTGAAGTGGCATATGCTCGGCTACCCCATGCTCTTTCTCTCTGTGGTTTGACTGAGGACGACATGTCACCTGCTCTTCTGAGAGGCGCTGTACCTCTGAGTCTGCATCCAGCAGCAGCTCACTTTCAGTAGATTTGTCTGCCTCATAAGCTCTGATAGTATATTCTTGTCCACTGGCCTTATAAATGCTACCATAGATACCTTATAGAACACCATCTAGAGGATGTTTCATATGGAATGGATAGTAAGAAGCTCTAAAACCAGGTCAAGTTGAAGAACAGCTAGGAGTTCCAAATGCAATCTTGTCTCCAGCTGCTTTCATACATTAGATTATTTGTGTGTCTAAGGACCTTACGTGAGTTTTTTATGTCAAAATATAGGTCTCTGAGATTTGGTGTTCAGACATTACTAGATAAGGTCTATTTGCAAGATCCAAGATGCCAGAATTCTTTGCCTGGTGATAGCCTCTAACATAGAGCAAAGTCTGTCTAATTCAGTGCAAACAGCCCATCTGGTCCCAGGTTCACAGTGAAGAAGCTGGTGCCAGGTCCAGTATAGGATTTTATCAAGTGTCCAGGACACTGCCTGGCCCTGGATGCAAACATGTGTTGTGTACATGAATTCATCTTTTGACTAAAACATTGCCTCCAACACAAGATGAGGTAGCTGCTTCCCTTTACTCCGCTCCCTTCCCAGGGCACATACTATGGCCAGTGGTCAACAAGCTTGAGACAGGACCGAATAGAGTTTGGCTGTGAGAAGCTGGGCGTATCTGTGCTATCATTTACCCCTTACTTACATGTAGCCTCTTGTCTCTAGAAACATGCCAGGTGGTACAGCTGATGGGGAGGAAGAAGAAGAAAAATAAGTATGTACTTAGGGCTTGGCTGTCCAGTCCAGTGTCTGCTTGCTGCATTAGGACATTCTTGTACTGGACAGCAAAGCATCCCTCTTCAAGCTTATAATGGCCTAAGCTGCTCAAAGTTTGACGCTTCACTACATTTGATGATCCTGTCCATATATTGAAATAGTGGAAGAGTGAAAGGAGTACAGGGTTTTCTTGGCATCTATTTCCTCTCCCATTGCTTCATGTTACCTGTCTCAGAATGGAGAAGACATGAATATAAACAACTAACAGATGCATGTAGTAATAGGTAGCATATGACAAAGCCAAGCCAACTGTCCTAGTGCTTCTCAGGAATTTACTGTAAGTGGGTTTTGGCCACTTTGTCTTGTTTTTATTTTTCTCAAATGTTCATGTTCTCTCAAATGTGTGAGTTCTCTGCTCATCTTTGATAAAGACAATGTGGGGACACAAGGACTAAAAGCATACCTGGACCCCACTTAATGATGCTGGTCAAGAAACCAGTGTGATACTTGTTAACAAGGCAAGGCAGATTCTCCGTGACAAGGTACAAATTGATCCTTTAGAAAAGTTAATAGCTTAGCCATTGTTAATATTAACTACCTAGATATTAACAGTATGGCTGATCAAATGGAGAAATCTGTGTCTATATTTATTGTATATACTTAATGAGCACATTGACTAAATATGTGGATAGACATAACAGTTTTGGTTACATGACTAAAATGTATAAGCTCTCAGTTTATATTCTATAAATGAAAATAACGTTAAATTTGCTATACTTTAGGTTTAAAAAACAAGGCAAGGCAGACGTTAGTGAGGATCACTGTGACTGACATAGAGTCTACTGTGATGCAGGCTTGCAGTGTGAGAGAGCAATAGGGACTGATGGATGGCATTCGCCAAGAGGAAATATCAGAAGTAAGGGGCCATAGAGGTCAGATATCACTTGGGGATGACAGGAGCACCAGATATTAGGGGTGGGATCAGGTATCAAATGTGAGAGCTCTGGCTAAACCAGGTTAAGAAGATTCTTGATAAAACTTTGTGATGCAAAGGGAAGAAGCTCAAAAGTTAGGTCTTACAGGTTCAAAAAAGCCTGACTCAAGTTGGTAAAAAGAAGGGGTTCTATCATTATTCATACTAAAGAAACCAAGGGATGGGAGGGTTGGGAGATGGCTGTCAGTGAAGTGTTTGCTATGCAAGTATGAGGACCTGAGTTTAATATCCCGAATTTATGTCAAAAGCTCAGTATGGTGGTGCATGTTTGTAATCCCAGAACTGGGGAGATAGGCAGCTGCTGAGCAGCCAGAATAACATAAGTGGTGATTTCTAGGCCAATCCTAAAAACAAGGTGGATGGGTTCTGATGAACGGCCTAAGTTTGACATCTGGCCTACATATACACACACATGTTTGCACATGTGAGCACATGAACAAGCATACACACTACTTAGAAGAAATGTATTCATGTCACTGCCTCATTTGTATCATGAATAAGATGTGAGATGGGAAAATGGGAAGATGGTAATAAAGAAGCTGTAATAAATGTTAATGGTAGGCTCTTGGCGGCCATGCAGGTGTTTACTACAGATTACCTCCCCATACTTCTTTGTATATCTGACTGATTTCATAACAAAATATTGTGGGTATCAAAGCAGTTCAGGGCAGAAGTGAGGAAGCAGCCAAGCAGAAGGGACCCATGGTTTAGTACTGGGAACCGCTTAGTCCAGGATGGCAGATGGACAACTGCCAGTATATTTCCCAGAGGCCTTGCTAAGGGCAGGAATACTTACAATATCTGACTCTTTGGGGTCTGCTGTGGTGTGGACATGACTTCTGCATGATGGCCTTTTGCTCCTTGAAGCTAACCACTCCTGCTTTGGGAAGATAGTTACTGACTCAGACTGCCATGGACCAAGCTAATACTCTATGTTTTTCTCCTTGTCTTCTTCCCTGGTGACTTTTAGAGTTGGTGTTGATCCAGATCAAGACCCACCACCTAACAATGACAGCTTTCAAGTCTTACAAGGGGTAAGTCACAAGTTGCTGCATTCTGGGAAAGATATGAGTTGAAAATGCTAAAATTGAGCATTTTGCTCCATGCTGTGCATTGTATCTGGCATCCCTCATTGTTGTCTTGACAACAACCTTTTAGGTTGCTGCTGTAAACTCTGGTTTATAGGTTAGAGGCTGAAAATTGATTTGTGACTTACCTAAGGTCAGATAATGAGAAAGTGGTGAAAGACTCAGGTGACACCCCGAGCTCAATAACCAGACAGTTGGATGCAAACCGCAAGAGGTTTATTGTTCACACAGGCATCTGTGGGCGATTCAACAGCCTTAGCTAACTGAACACGCTGGGCTTTAGGTCAGTTTTCTTTTTATATACATACTTTTGGCAAGCAAAGTAATAGGGGTATTGTAAGAAGTGGAGCTACTGCAGGTGCAGATCTGGGCAAGCAATAGGGGTATTGTTAGAACACGGGCATAACTCATCCTTCCTGGAGAAACCACAAGGTCAAGATTAAACTTAACAGCCTGCCGATGCCCTGCATCAGCACTCTGGACCAGATGTTCTTTCTAATCAGTCCTTGTTCCCTGCCTAGGGGAAGGGACCTTGGGGAATTTTCCACTGAGGCGACCTTCTGAGTCTCAAAAAGCGGGGGAGGTATTGAGGTTTTTCAGTGGTGTATTTTGTGAGTAAAACAAGCCAGGAACAGCTGGCTACCAGGATGAGGAGAGATTCCATCTAGATAGTTCCATACCAGTCAAAGCAGCTCCATTCTCCAGGTTTCACATTGCCTCTCTCTCTGCACTCAAGCACCTACAAAAAAAAATTAAATGAGATGCCTGTGTTGGTTTCATGCAGCATTGCTTACTGTATGGCTCCTAAGAGCTGCAGGCTGAAATGTTAACAAGAGGCACAAGTCAACTTTGCTGGCTGTGTGGCCCCGGGAGTCCCCATGAATTCTTGGGGCCTGTACTCAGGTGCATCCAGGTGCTTGCTATCTATCCTAGAAAAGAACTTGAGGCTGAGTCAAAGCAAAGTTCACAGGTTTGTTGATTGAGCAGAAGATAGAATGGGCTAGAAATGAGTCAAACGTGAATGGTAGAAGATAAACACACCCAAGTGTTTCAGCATGTTTGATTTGGGGGTTTTGAAGGTGCTTGTAAGCGTTTCGCCGGGATGGGTCAGGACAGGATGGAACAGGAGTGGGTCAGGTATTCTGGCACTTGGGAGTCACAGAATACTGAGTGTTACACAGCTCAGGTAGAAAGGTATCCTGGAGCTCGGGAGCCAAGGACCACCACAGGTTGCAGTAAGCTTGGCAGCTTACAGCCTTGCCTCAGAGAAAGGCTTCTCTGGTGTATCAGCTCCACTCCGGCAGGACAGGGTCTTCCAGCTGGGGATGTTCGCCTAGTGTAGCAGTTTTGCTAGGCAGGAGGTTTCTCGGGCGAAGTTGCTACAGTTCAGCTCTGCTCCTGGAGAGCCCATAGCGGAGAGCAGGGTGCCGGGAGCAGAGTGTAACAACTCTGCTCTGCCAAGGAAGGTTTCCCGGGCAAGTGTTACAGCGCTTCTCGCTCTGCTCTGTCGCTGCCGCAAAAGAAGATCTTTACCCGAAGCTCATCCAAAGGAGTTTATTGGAAGGCAGCTGGACCAGCCAAGCTGAACATACACATGGTTTATATAGGGATTCCTGGGGCTGGGGAAGTTTTTCCAGAGTAGGGATTGGTCTGATTTCAGTGCTGAGCTCAGATTGGCTAGAGCTCTGCTCCGGGATTGGTTACTTTTTTACACAGATTAGGGTCAGATTTGGCTCTGGTTTCAGGGCCAAAGTGTGTTTCTTTCTCTGGTCCTTTTTAGCCTTTTGGCTCCAATTTTAGGGCCAGGGTACATTTCTTTCACTGACTCTGATTCCAGGGGCAAAGTGTGTTCCTTTGGCACTGGTTTTAGGGTCAGGGTACATTTTTTTGGTTGTGGTTGCAGGGTCAAAGTGTGTTTCTTTGGCTCTGCTGAGGGTGTGTTTCTTTGACTGGTCCCTTTTCCCTACATCTGTAACTGAGTTTAGCTATTGGGGAGAGTATGTATTTGGATACTTAGTTTTATTTTCCACAGAACTCTGTCCTTGAAGTAGAAACTTCTTTGTAAATCTCACTGGCTTGCAGGTGGAGAGAGGAGTGTAGGTAGAGAGAAAATAATCATCAAGGAATCCTTATACATATAGGCCACAAAGGGATTAGGCCTAAGTAAGGCACAAGTCATAAGTAATGACACAGTTTTAACAATCCCATGTGTGATATGTCCCAGGTGGCCTGGGCAATTACATAGAGTTCCTAAGTGCCAATGAGTGAGAAGTGGAAATCAGAACTGGAAAATTAAAGGGTCTCTTTCCCTCTTCACATCCCTTCTGCTTACTAATTAGCTGTCTTGCCATGGGAACATTGCATTTGTGGAAATATTTGGGAAGTAATAGTCTTAAATGTTGGTTCTGGCATTTTATACTGCAGTGATGCTAAATTAGCATTTTCTCCAGGTAGGATGAATGACTTGACACCCTGGACAGGTCAGCTCTGGGTTGCTGGCATCTCCAAGATGACATTGATAGGGCTAACAATGACTTCTGCTGCTTTCTTATGGCATATGATTTGCCTGCCTGGAGCTGGGCGTGTCATAGATTCCCTTGACCTTCTCCTCCCAAGTTTCACATTAAGTCATGGAGGTGTTTCCAGAGTCAGTTCTGTGGGGGCCTTGTGCATATTGGTTCGCCTTGCTCAACCTTAGTACATGGGGAGGTGCTTACTCTCACTGCAACTTGATATGCCATGCTTTGTTGAAACTCATGGGAGACCTGCCCTTTCCTAAACAGAAGTGAAGGAGGAGTGGTTGCGGGTGGGGGCAAAGGGGGTGTGTGGGGACGGACAGGGAGGAGAGGACTAAAGGAAAACTACAGTTGTTTTTTTAAAAAAAAATACAAAAACAACAAACGAAAGCAATAAAGACAGTTTTCCTTACTGTTTGCAGAAGCCCAAGCTGTAAAGAATGTCACAGCTACAAGCTACCATTAGCTCATGTGGGAGACAGGAAGAAGCAGTTGGCTGAAACTTTTGGCTCTATGAAGGAAACATATGAATATTGTGGGCAGACTCCAACTTAGTGTTTCTGGCAAGTTGGACTCATTGGAACAAAAACAAGATCTGAAAACACAGTTGTTTTGTTTCTCTAGAGGTCTTGGCGACTTTGCAACCAAAACAAAAACAAGCTCAGCTGGAAGCAAGCTGCTTGGCCCCCAGGGTTAGTACCTTCTCATCCGATTAGAGAGGGGCTTTCATGCCAGAGCAGACAAAGCTGAGATTTCTGTTGGCTAGACATGCTGACACATCATTCACTTCCTTCCTCAAGTTTTCCAGAAGATCCCTCATTGATGAGGCCCCTCTGGTAACTCAGTGTGACTCCTGCCTTTATCATATCAACAAGGCCAACACACACAAACGGATGTGCTAATGGAGTGTGGAGGAAAGGGAAGTGTGTGTGTGTGTGTGTGTGTGTGTGTGTGTGTGTGTGTGTGTGTGTGTGTGTGAAAATCAGCTGTTTAGAGTTGCATTGAGAGAGAATTTTGTGAGCAAGTTGGATTCATTTGTCCCTGGAACCCCCTCCACCCCTACCCTCCAGCCCTCCATCCCCCCACTCCTGCTATAATCAGATACTTTAACCACCCAAATTTTAAACTTCAAACAGTTGCTGAAAGTGTCTTTTTTTCAAATTACTGTTCTCTGATTCCTTGTCCTACCACATTTTTTCATTTTTCTCCTTCCTTCCTTCCTTCCTTCCTTCCTTCCTTCCTTCCTTCCTTCCTTCCTTCCTTCCTTCCCTCTCTCCCTCCCTCCCTCCTTCCCTCTCTCCCTCCCTCCCTCCCTTCCTCCCTTCCTCCTTTTTTTTTAAGACAAGCTCTCTCTACATAGCCCTGGCTGTCCTGGAACTCACTATGTAGACCAGCCTGGCCTCAAACTCATAGTGATCCACCTGCCTTTGCCTTCTGAGTGCTGGCATTAAAGTCCAGGACATCAGCTTTTTCTTTCTGTCTTGCAGTTGCTGCCTTTGGAGCCTTGATTTCCCTTTTTGCTACTTTTGTTTGATTTCTAGAAGCTTAGCAGTAATTTGAGCTTATTCATCCACTTGAAAGATATTTATTGAATGCCTGTTACTTTGTCAGAACTTCCAGGCTCTTGGAATAGGTACAGGACAGAAACCACCTTTCTATCCTGAAGGACTGGGCTTGACTGGATGATGAATCAAGGACCATGGCAGGAACCGTGATAGAGGACCTTACTTACTCTTCCCTTAGGAGGTCACATCTATCTCTTATGGATCACCAAGTGCTTAGTTAGTTTTCTTGTCAAAAGAAAGGCCCTAATCAAATGACTTTACTTGCTCTTTTGATCTCTCATAGCCTATGGGGGCTGTTATAACACGGTGCTATTGTGGTAAAAGCGTCACCCCAGCCCCTGGCACTCAAAAACCCAAACAGTCTGAGATGTTATGGTGGATGGTCCACCCAAGCTCCCTCCCCCATCTCTCTCCAAACCCTGCTGCATCTCAGAAAGCCCGCCAAATGATAACCTCTCTCCCCAGAGATGCTCAAGACCACTCCCACAGGGTATTTAAACTGCCCCCCAGAAAACAGATTTGTGGTTTTTCTGGTCTCCTTTTCCTCTTTCCTCTCTGGGGGGCTGGAAGGCCACCAGGGAACATTGTATCCATTAAACACGGGCTTTTTCTAATTTGGTTTGATTTGGTCTGATTTGGATTGTTGTATTGGCAGAGAGGCTTACTGGGTGCAGAAATTTGTCAGGTACCTCTAAATTACTGCCTTAAAATGATACAGTTTCATTGGCTGCAAGTTCAGTAAGTCAGAAATATGGTGGGCTCAGCTGGGTTCTCTGCTTCAGAACCCAAATCAAAGTGTGGTGAAACTGAGCCTTGGCTAAGAGAACATTTGCAAGCTCATTCAAGTTGTCACTGGCATTCATTC